TCGTGACAAGACTGTGATCCATGAAGGGGATTTCAGACATAGGATATCAGTCCTAATCTCCCAGTTTGTCCCTTTCTCCTGCTCTAGTTGTAATTGAGGTTTCCTTTTTGTTAATTTTCAGAAACTAACTTTGTAATCTCAGCATTTGCTGTCTTATCTCAATGATTTATCGGAGATAAATTTATAACAATTCTAGATTGGGAGGTGGTCCCCAATCTAAATGATTTAGTGTATACACTGGCAGTCCCCCAGGACATCTGATTTCTGAGGTACTACACTTGACTTCTGTCACAAAAAGACAAAAATTAAGAAAAAATAAAATGAAAGCAAATGGTTATTTTGTACTTTAATTTCACCATAGATTAAAACATAGGTAAAAATTGTCTATCCCTCCATATTTCTAAGATATGTTTGATGTAAGTACAAACCATAGAATTAAAAAAAAAAAACTTGAGAGAATAAATGTTAATGAGTTCTTTCAAGGAAAGGTGCTACATAAATATGATGTATTTCCATTATTAATAGCAATAAGCTGTGAGTCCCTGAGAAGATGAAGCCTCTGATCAATTCTGCTGTCCTTCTGTGGTTCCGTATAGATCATCACATTTGATATAAGAATAATTAAAAGATCAACATGTTTAGAAGTTAAAAGAATGATAATTGGAAAAGGCAACCTCAGGGATTGATTTAGTAAAGCACTCCTGAGATATCCATCTCCTGACATTATGTTCAGCCCCTTATCTTACATAATTTACTTTCTAGTACTTTACATGAGCATTCATTATTTTACCTCCCCTCAAAAAGTCTGTATCCCAGAATATTAAATTTACTTAATTATAGATTTAAGATTTAATATTTTTTAGGTCTCTAAGTATTTAAATTTTTACATATTTTGAGCATGCATAGGTCTCAGTTAACCAATATATTCAGTTATCTGAAACATCCCAAATCATTATATGCACTTACATATTAATTTAAAAGTAGCACATAGCGCTTACCTGATAGATCAGTTGGTAAAGAATCTGCCTGCAATGCAGGACACTCTGGTTCAATTCCTATGTCAGGAAGATCGAATGGAGAAGAGATAGGCTACCCACTCTAGTGTTCTTAGGCTTTCCTTGTGACTCAGCTGGTAAAGAATCTGCCTGAAATGAGGGAGACCTGGGTTCGAAACCTGGGTTAGGAAGATCCCCTGGAGAAGAGAAAGAATACCCATTCCAGTATTCTGGCCTGGAGAATTCCATAGACTGTATAGGGTTCAGCCATGGGGTCCATACATACATGGGGTCCATACATGCATACATACATGGGGTCCATACAGGGGGTCGCAAAGAGTTGGACACGACTGAGTGACTTTAAAAAAATAATAATAATAAAATGGCACATGCATGTGAAAGAAAGGGAAAAAAAGTTATAGGTGTTTAGTCAAGTATTTGATTAGGCTCAAACAATATTATGACTGGAAGAAATCTACCTAGCATAGAGTTTGCAATTTTATTTTATTTTATTCCTGTCAAGGCAAGAGAAGATAGGTCAGATCGGACAGACAATATAGGCTCCCACGACACAACTCAGCCATTCCACCACAAAACAAAACCAACACCAAACAAAATGAATTAACTTGATATCTTCCAATAAAACTTCTTTCATACAAACAGGCAGCCGACTAAATTTTGCCTTAGAGCTACACACTGGGTTGGCCAAAATATTCATTCAGGTTTCTCCATAGTATCTTATGGAAAAATTCGATAAAACTTCTTAGCCAGCTCAGTAGTTTGCCAACCTCTGATTTAGTGCAACTGAATTATTTCATATGCGAGGAAATTAAGGCATAGAAAATTTAAATGCCATTATTAATTGAATTTCATGGGAAGAAATAGCTTTGTCTGCTTAAAAATATTGATTTTGCCTTATTCACGAATCTACCCTTTGTAAAGTGTGTTTGTCATTCAGCCATGTCCGAGTTTCCTTGGTGGCTCAGACCCTTCATAAAGCTTGCTGTAATTTTTTTTTCCAAAAGGTAAAACAAAATCAGCCTTCTTTGTGTTTAAATTCCTTCAGTAGATCCCTACCAACTTCCATGTGAAATTTAATCTGGTGTCCAGCATTTGGGGTCTGCATTTTTAAGGTTTCTGCATGCTTGCACCTATTCCACATTCTACTCCATGTTCCAGGCACACTTCCTAGTGCCCCAACATACGAAAAGTTGCATGATGTCAGAAACTGAGTCTGTTGTCTTCACTTACCTATCTTCTATGCCTAGTACAGTGCTTGATTTTGAAGAAATAGCTCTGGAGTGAATGGACAAATGAAGCACTGGCATCTGAAAAGAGTCTTGGGACAAATCAGACAGAACACCCCCTGCCTGGTCCCCACTGAAATCTCTCAAGTCTCAGTAAGTGTACCTGGCAAATGGAAGAATCAGGACTAGAAAACACCTCTTCACCATCTGGGTGCCACTTGATCAGTGCATCTCCATGGTAACCATCTTTGTATTACGATTTGACTACTCAGGGGGCCCCAAGCATGCTGTTAAATTTACAAAAGTATGCCATAAACTTTCTATAAGAAAGTTGCTATGGTATTACTCTACAGAGTTTTCATTGGGCAGTCATATTTCCCCTATGCTTCTTTAACTCCTTACAGGGAGTGGATTTGCCAAATGCACAGTTTGGTATCAGCTGGCACGATCTGGAATTGTTACTTGTGTTCCTAAGGACATCATGCTGACTCTCGGCAGGGGGCCATTTTAACACCTATATCCCTGAATCCACCAGGAATGCTAACATATATTTCAGTGTGATGTGTGGGATTATCAGCAGAAAGGAATGCTTCCCAAGAAAGCACTGCCCTACTACACTGAAGATGCCGATTTTCTATCATCAGTGTAGCCCCCCACCAGCAGCGTCCATCAGGGAACATCTCAAAGCTGTGGCCAAACAAGAGCATGCTGGGATGTGCATGGCCCACCCTGGCTTCACTGAGACAGGCAATATTTCTTTTTCTATAACTGTCCTTCAGACAACCTATATGAGGACTGTGCTTCCTTTTACTTTGAAAAGCTTGACTTTTCAACTCTTTCTGTTCTAGCTATTAAATTAATAGCTACCTATGTTTACTAGTGAAATACTTTCTAAATTGTCAGTCTGATGTAGAGAGCATTGAGGAGAAAAAGTTTACCTCTTATTGATTGGAGGTATCAATGAAAAAAAAAAATGTTGCCTGCCACATCAGTAAACAGAGGATGTTGCAGCCATCACGACATCATAGTACAGCCACCCTGATGGTGAGACCTGAGGGAACTCAAGATAGAAACAGGATTCCCACCATCTAGCATCCAACCCCTGCACTGACCCCTCCACCCACCTTTCCCCCCAATTCTGTGGAGACTCAGGATGAGACGGCATAGGATATTGGCCCCAGATAGCTAAGGTGCATGCCAAAGGGATGATTTCAATGAGTCCTGACTCTTGCATTTTCTCATATATAATAAAGTACTAGTTTCCTTAATTTGAGATACCTGTTTTCTCAAATTAGCAGCAATCTTTTGAACTTTTGTCTGCTCTTTGCTGCAAAACCTTATATACATATATCTTGATTCCTCCATTACTTCTTTGGAGCAGTCTTCAGAGCTGTCTGAGATGCTGTGTCCTGAGCTTTACATCTTCAGTTTTGTCCATCAAGTAAAACACAATCCTCAACTTTCAGCTCCTGCATTTCTTTTTTCAGTTGACAGCAGTCTGCAAATTGAAGTGACAGAAGACAGATTAGCAAGAGAAAAGACAAAGTTTATTCACTTATGTAGACCTGTGAGTAAGAAAGAAAATATGAGTTAAAGAAGTGGTTAGAATTTGGGGCTTATATACTGGCTTAAGAAAGGGAGACAGCTAGAATTTTGAAGGAAAATAAATGGCCGACAATGACTGATGAATATAAGGGGAAAACTAATGGAAGACCAGGTTTGTTTTAATAAGCTCTGTTTGTGCAATTTTTCATCTATTGGGCAGTCATATTTCCCCTATGCTTCTTTAACTCCTTACAGGGAGTGGATTTGCCAAATGCACAGTTTGGTATCAGCTGGCACGATCTGGAATTGTTACTTGTGTTCCTAAGGACATCATGCTGACTCTCGGCAGGGGGCCATTTTAACACCTATATCCCTGAATCCACCAGGAATGCTAACATATATTTCAGTGTGATGTGTGGGATTATCAGCAGAAAGGAATGCTTCCCAAGAAAGCACTGCCCTACTACACTGAAGATGCCGATTTTCTATCATCAGTGTAGCCCCCCACCAGCAGCGTCCATCAGGGAACATCTCAAAGCTGTGGCCAAACAAGAGCATGCTGGGATGTGCATGGCCCACCCTGGCTTCACTGAGACAGGCAATATTTCTTTTTCTATAACTGTCCTTCAGACAACCTATATGAGGACTGTGCTTCCTTTTACTTTGAAAAGCTTGACTTTTCAACTCTTTCTGTTCTAGCTATTAAATTAATAGCTACCTATGTTTACTAGTGAAATACTTTCTAAATTGTCAGTCTGATGTAGAGAGCATTGAGGAGAAAAAGTTTAGCTCTTATTGATTGGAGGAATCAATGAAAAAAAAAAATGTTGCCTGCCACATCAGTAAACAGAGGATGTTGCAGCCATCACGACATCATAGTACAGCCACCCTGATGGTGAGACCTGAGGGAACTCAAGATAGAAACAGGATTCCCACCATCTAGCATCCAACCCCTGCACTGACCCCTCCACCCACCTTTCCCCCCAATTCTGTGGAGACTCAGGATGAGACGGCATAGGATATTGGCCCCAGATAGCTAAGGTGCATGCCAAAGGGATGATTTCAATGAGTCCTGACTCTTGCATTTTCTCATATATAATAAAGTACTAGTTTCCTTAATTTGAGATACCTGTTTTCTCAAATTAGCAGCAATCTTTTGAACTTTTGTCTGCTCTTTGCTGCAAAACCTTATATACATATATCTTGATTCCTCCATTACTTCTTTGGAGCAGTCTTCAGAGCTGTCTGAGATGCTGTGTCCTGAGCTTTACATCTTCAGTTTTGTCCATCAAGTAAAACACAATCCTCAACTTTCAGCTCCTGCATTTCTTTTTTCAGTTGACAGCAGTCTGCAAATTGAAGTGACAGAAGACAGATTAGCAAGAGAAAAGACAAAGTTTATTCACTTATGTAGACCTGTGAGTAAGAAAGAAAATATGAGTTAAAGAAGTGGTTAGAATTTGGGGCTTATATACTGGCTTAAGAAAGGGAGACAGCTAGAATTTTGAAGGAAAATAAATGGCCGACAATGACTGATGAATATAAGGGGAAAACTAATGGAAGACCAGGTTTGTTTTAATAAGCTCTGTTTGTGCAATTTTTCATCTCCAGTGACAATAGTCACTCTTTCTCCCTGCACAGGAATCCTTCCTTAAAGTAGGGTTTATTTATGACAGTTGAATTCTTCTGGAAGGTTCTGCTATTAGGAAGATAAGGGGAGTGCAGAGAAAGCATATTCCTGCATCAATTGAATCTGTGATACCTTCAGCTCAATATAATTGTTATGCCACAGAGGCAAATTCTTGAAGAACTACACACTCTAAAGTGCAAAATCAGAGCAAAGAACCAAACAGTTCCGGGAGACACAATTTCTGACTAAAGTATCCACATACCATGGGAGATGGTCTGAAGACCATAAATAAGGTGACTAAGTTCACAAGTACTTAGTTGCTCAGTAGTGTCTGACTCTTTGCAACCCCATGGACTGTAGCCCGCCAGGCTCTTCTATCCACGGGATTTTCCAGGCAAGAATACTGGAGCAGGATGCCATTTCCTCCTCCAGGGGATCTTCCCAACCCAAGGATCGAACCCATGTCTCTCGTATCTCCTGCATCATCAGGTGGATTCTTCACTGTTGCACGGCTATTTTTCACTTAGCCAGAGCCATTATATTGAAAGTTGAAACCAGGCACACTTGTAATTGAAGTCTCCTCCCAGAAGAGTAAGAGTTTCATATTAACTTTTTATCTCAAAATGAATCAATTAACTGTTCAGTACAACCTGTGCTTTTTTATATAGAATTTGGTAGATTTATTATCCAATTTAGCAGAGCTGAACCCTTCAAAAAGGAAGGAACTTCTGTTAGTGTGTGGCAGCATCCATACATTATTTAGAATCTCAGAATATAGGGGCTAAAAGATATTTTCATCAGTTCACCACCTGATCCCTCGATTCACTGGCAGAAAAACAGAGGTCCAGAGCAGTTAACTCATTTGCCCAAGGTCACCTAGCTAGTTAGAGCCTTAACTGAGGCTTGAGTCCTGGGCTCAGCCCCACTGAAACACTTGAAAAGAGGGGAATCTAATGACTTGGAGGTTAATGAATAGAAGTATTTTCGTTAGGTTAATGCAGGAGAGCCCTGGATATTGAGAAAACACAAAATGATTTAGAGCTAATTAAATACAGAGAGAAATTAGAAAATGAGGCTTAAGACAGAGCTTTTAATAATTTCAGGTAGACATCTCATCATTACGCTTTCAAAGTGCCCTGTGCTTTCCTCGACCACAGGGTATTTTAACTCTGTTTTCATTATGTTATAGCTTGAATTCTGCCCTTAATACCCTTTATATATGTTGATGTCCTAATCTCCAGAATCTTGGAATGTGATGCTGTGTGCAAACAGTCTTTACAGAGGTAAACAAGTTAAAGAGACATCATTGGGTTATTGGATGCTGGTGTTGTAACAGAAAGGGAAAATTTGAACACAGACCCACATGGAGGGAAGACGATGTGAAGAGCCAGAGAAGACCATCTAAAGCTAGGGGAGAGGGTCTGGAAAACACATCCTTCCCTCACGACCTCAGAGGGAACCAACCTTGACCTTGGACTTCTATCCTCCAGAATTGTGTGTGAAATGTCCTGTTTGGGGGGGGCGGGTTCTGAAGTTTTTTGTAGTTTTGAAGGCAGCACTACACAACTAGTGTGCGTTGTTTACTTAATTTCCCCATGCTAACCCTCATTGCCACCCTGCTCATCACCAATGGGCCTTGTGCTGACTCTTTATACTGAGAAACTTGCACCGTGTCCGTGTCTGGCCTATCACAGGTATTCACTTAATGCTTGTAACTGAATCACCTTGCACTAAATGGAGTTCTCTGAACCTACTTTAACTCAACTGATATTCACAACTCAAGTCATTTGGACTATACATTGTTATTTTTATTTAACTGATGATTGTCCAAGAAAGATAACGGCTTTCTCATCGGAAGGCACAAAGTGTTGTAAAGGAGAGTGATAGGATCCTAGGCAATGTTTTCCAGCTCTCATTATCCAAATTCAAAACCCCACTTTATTTCTGTTGAATTTTAAACTGACTTTAATCCACCACTTGCAACTTAAGGAGTCCTTTCAACTAAAATTGTTTCCATCAGAAACAAGAATAAAATAAAAAAACCGTGCGGCTGATTATTTAGCTTAACAAAACAAAACAGAAAATCCATCAATCAAAACAAGATTGAAAGCAACAAATTCAGTTTTGAAAAAAAAAAAAAAAAACCTTGATGTTTCCTTTTGACTACTCTTTACTGACAGACTAAAAATAGCATCTTTTTGTTGTGTCTTAAAAAGCTCTTTGTCTATGGAAATCTTGGAGGAGAGCAATATTTACTGATTTAGGGTTTTTTCAGGTATGATATATACAGACACTGATTAAGAATAATAATAAAGGAATAATTATTCCATCATCCTATATATTACTTTGTCACACATAAAAAGCCAATATTTCTGAAATGCTGGCTACTGACAGGCACTAAATCCTCTGTGCATCAGTCAGCACTCTGGCAGAAAAAAGATGGCTTAATTAACAGGGTTTAAGCGACAGAATTTAATGAAGGACAATTTTACAGAGTATGGACAGGGTCAAAGGAATTATTGGTGGTTGGTGAGGTGCCCAAAATGTAGCAAAATTGAGAAGCTGTTACCACCCCCGGCTTGAAGGGGTGGGGCAATCTCATCAGAGTCCAGATGAAGATTGTGAAAAGGGATGCCTGACAAAAACTCTAGCCAGAAAGAAATGGAGTTACTGCCAGGGAAGTGGTGAGGCAGGGGGATGCTTGATCTACCACACCCACCCAGACAACTGAGGACAGGCAGCCCAGCTGATGCCTTCTGCAGGGCTCAATTTCAGAGGAGTTAGACAATCAAAGGGAGAGGCAAAGGAATCATCAGATTATTTTATTTGCACTACCTAACTGAGTCATTCCCATCCTCAAGACGTATTTTATTAATTTAGAAGAAGCTCAGAAGAGTTTAAAACATGCCCAGTTTTTCATGAACAAGTAAGAGTGGGAGGAAGGAAAATTCCAACTTTCTTCCGGGTCTAACAAAGGAAGAGAAAAGAAAAAATAGCATCTTCTTCTCAAACCAAAGCTTTCTTTAAATGAAGGAAGAGGGAAGAGGGCATTATGTGAAGCTATCAAGGGAACTGTTAAGTTTTATATTAAAGGCACTTGTGTAATGCACAGCATGATGACTATAGTGAACAAATCTGTATATTTTTCAGGTTGCTAAGAGAAGAGATCTTAAAAATTCCCATCACAAGAAAGAAAAATTTTATAACTATGTGTGATGGATGTCAACTTGTTGTGGGGATCATTATACACAACATGCAATGTAGTGTATCTGAAACATACAATGTTATATTTTCAATATATCTCAACAAAGAAGAAAAAAAAGGAACAGAAAAAATATATGCAAGATATATCTGTCTTCTTGGAAACTAAATTATATGACTTTTTAAAAATTCCTAAAACACGTAAGGAAGAATATTTGCTGTTTAGCCACTGAGCTGTATCTGACTCTTTTGCGATCCCATGGACAGTAGCCATCAGGTTCCTCTGTCCATGGGGTTTCTCAGGCAAGAATGCTGAAGTCAGTTGCCATGCCCTTCTCCAGGGGATCTTCCTGACTCAGGGATTGAACCCACATCTGCTGTATTGGCAGGCAGATTCTTTACCACTGAGACACCAGGAAAGGTAGGGAAGAAGATGGCGATATATTATCAGCACCCCAAAGCTTCAACTTCGTTTCCTGAGTTAAAATAAATAAGGAAAAATAAAATATCAAAATATTAATAGTAAATATGTTTGTAGGTTATTGATTTTTAATACTTCTTGTATTTTTTAAACTTTTTCAACAATGGGCATATATTCATTTTACTTAAAAATAGCATGTTATTATTATAATAAATTTTAAGAACTACATTTGAAAAGAAAGGCATTGGTGTTTGTTTCAGAGCAGGGAATGATTTGGTATGGGAGGAAGCAGGTCTAGATGACCATGAGTATGGAAAACAGGCTGGACTAGTGATGAAAAAAGGGGCATGTGTTTATGGTGATGATTAAGGATGAAGAAATGAGCGTGACAAGAGGCTAAACATGCTGGCTAACTCCTGCCGAGCACTATGTAATTTAGTAAGCATTTTAATCTATATCATTTGGCTTGATGTCCAAAATATCCTTGAGAAATATAATCATCTTTCTTGGTATTGTTACTGTGATTGCTTTTTTTTTTCCTCTTGTTTTACAGGTAAAGAAACAAACTCAAAGAAGTTAAGTGCTTTATCCGAAGCTACACGGTCTGTGAGTGGTGGAGATGGAATCTGAATGCTGGCCTGAGGATTCTGTCTTGTGAACCAAGAATAGTTACTGGTTTGCAGAGGTCTGGGAACAGTCTATGATGTAGACTGGTGCCAACTGAAACATCTCCAGGAGTACTGAAATTACAATTGAGTTTCCTTTAGTCATTTCTCTAAGCAAATTTCTATCACTACCACAGTAGGCTAGGTTCACACATTTGAAGTCTTTTTGTTTGTTTGTTTGTTTGGACTAGACTCTCTGTGCTCCAGATATGAAAGCTAAGAAGCCTGAGTGTATCCTTGTGCTCTGAAAATTTCTGTCATCAGCTCCTTAGCTTATCTAATGCATCACTTGCCAAACAAGTTTGATTAACAACCTCACTCCATAATCATTTTCCAACACATTCAACTGTTGCCTCTAGAGATTAATTGCCAAGCTTTTCTATCCAACTAACAGTAGGTTGACATTTAACATCTTGAATTTATAGATTTCCT